AAAAAAAGAATGAAAATTGGAAATCGTTTAGTGAAATTTCAGCTTTGGATTGAGCTCATGTTTCATCTAACAAGAATGTGCTTGTTTTACTTCTGTATATATATCTCCTTTTATTTAAAAAAAAAAAAAATAGGAACGATGGGCTGCCTAACGCTTGCTTCAGGAGGATGGGTAGCAAACCTGATCGTGTATTTGATTCAAGAGTTCAACTTTAAGAGCATAAGTGCCGCTAAAGTTTACAACTTTGTCAACGGAAGCATTACTATGCTTCCTATTGTAGGTGCCGTCATAGCCGACTCCTTCACCGGCTGCTTCTCAGTCATTTGCTTCTCATCTCTCATCTCACTCCTCGTACGTTTTTTCATCTTCTCACACCAAATCCATAACTCCTACGCATTCTTACTACTTATATTTAGTTTCGTGTACGTATGTACATTAGTTGTAGTCCTAACAGCAGAATATGCAGGGCATGCTAGTTCTTGTCCTAACAGCAGCAGTTGACCACTTGAGACCCCAAACTTGCAAAAATGGATCAAATTCTTGCCACTACCCCTCTCAACTCCAGCTGGCAGTTCTGTATCTTGGGCTTGCTCTGGCTTCTCTTGGGAATGCGGGCACACGCTTCACAATTGGCCCAATGGGGGCCCACCAATTCAAGACCCCCGGCCAGCAAGGGATTTTCTTTAATTGGTACATTTTCACAATGTACACGGCCACAATCATAAGCTCCACGGCCATTGTTTATGTTGAGGACAACGTGAGCTGGGTTTGGGGGTTTGGCCTATGTGCTGCTGCTAATCTATTCGGTTTGGTTGTTTTCTTGATTGGCAAGAGATTCTACCGCCCTTTTAAAGCTCACGGGAGCCCTTTCAGGGCTCTAGCTCGCGTGCTGGTTGGTGCTGTTAGTAAAAGGGGAATGGTCCTATCAGACGATAGCAAGGATTATTATTGTTGCCACCACCAGGACCCTAAGACTCCCACAAATTTCTTCAGGTCAAGTTTTGTCTTCTTATGTAGGTATTGTAAGGGGCAGAGTGGCCTTGCTGTCACGATTCGCTGAGATTCAGTATACTCTCTCTCTCCATGTCTGTTTGGAGTCATAACCAAATAAAAATGAAAAATATTGATTTTCAGTTCGGAAACAGAAAATTCCATAATGGTATTTACTCTTCAAATCCATAACAATTTGATACTCTTGATTCAAAATGTCAAATCATTAGATCAAATCATTAGATCACTTTAATTGAATTTATTATGACAACTATACACATTTAATTTACATATGTTGTCCAAGTTAAATATTTCTAACAATCTTATGTACTACCTTACCTGTATTCATAATCATAATTATACTCTCTCCATGTCTGTTGCTATATAAAACAATCTAGGTATACGTTGCATTGCCACTGATTTCACCACAAACGCTGACNAAAAAAAAAAAAAAAAAAACAATTGGCAGATTCTTAAACCGCGCAGCACTCAGAAGCGGCGAAACAAAAGACGGAATGCAGGCACAGCAAAAAGCTTCATGTACCGTGAAAGACGTCGAGAATCTCAAATCACTTATCAAAATCTTCCCCCTTTGGTCCACAGGCCTATTTCTGTGCACCCCACTCGCCATCCAGCTCAGCCTCTCCGTCATCCAGGCCCTCTCCATGGACCGCCGCCTCGCTGGATCCCACTTCCGGGTTCCAGCTGGCTCCATGCCTGTCTTCATCCTCATATCCACCTCACTCTCCATCCTCGTCATCGACCGTGCCAAAATTACCAAAACGCCCCTCACCCTCCTCCGGCGGATCGGGATTGGCCACGCTCTCACAGTGGCCAGCATGGCCATCTCGGCACTCGTCGAGTCTAAGAGGCTGACAGCTGGCGGGCCCATCTCTGCCATGTGGCTCGTCCCACAGCTGGCGGTGGCTGGCCTTGGGGAGGCTTTTCATTTTCCGGGACAGGTGTCACTTTACTATAGGGAGTTTCCGGAGGAGCTCAAGAGCACGTCAACTGCGGCTGTTGCCATGTTTATCGGGATTGCGTTTTACGTGAGTAATGGGATTATTGATTTGTTGCGGAAGCTGACTGTGTGGCTGCCGGACGATATAAATGAAGGGAGGTTGGATAATGTGTACTGGGTTTGTTGTGCTGTGGGGGGATTGAATTTGGGTTGCTATATTGTCTGTGCCATGTTGTATAAGTATCAAAACGTTGAAGAATCTGATGATGGTTGTGGGGAAAGTTGATGATGAATACATTAAAACAAAAAAAATAAAAAAATAAAAAAAAATGTTGTTGCGTTTGAAGTTGTGAATGCACAGGTTGGAACTGGAACTTGATGTGTTTATTACTGTCAGTATTGTCTAGTGGTTTTGGATAGGGTAGAATTATTTGAATCAAGAAGCTTGGAATTGAAGTAAAGGGTTAAATTGCATTTTTAGTGCGAGTGGTTTAACGTCATAGCAATTTTAGTCTCAATATTTCTAACATCTCACCTTTTGGTCATGTAATTTAATATTTTGCAACAATTTCATTCATTCGTGGACTGAAATTGCAATAAATTCCAAATTTATATATTTGGGATGAATTTTTCATTAGTAATTTAAGTCATGTAATTTAAAATTTTATTGCAATTTCAGTCCTGTAATTTAAAATTTTGTTGCAATTGCAGTCCTTAGAGGACTAAAACTACAACGAAATATCAAGTCACATGAACAAAAGAAAAAAAGTTGAAACATTGGGACTAAAATTGCTATAACAATAAACAACAGGACTAGAAATGCATTTTTGCGGAAGTAAAGTGACTTGAAATACAAACTTGTTATTGTCTTAGTGGTCAAGAGGCACAAATACATAGATGAGAGAGAGAGAGGAAGAATAAACATATCATAACCTCAAAACTGAAAGGATGCGCATAGATATTTCACACATGTAACTATAGGCCGAATATCCAATCTCGAAATACAGAATTATACAAACAAGAAAAGTTTAAAGATGAGATAGACAAGGGAAAAATAAACAACGAAGAAAGGAGAGGAGAATTAGCAGCTGCTTTAATTACAAAATTAGCTAATATTACATTCATTGGACGCTCCACCCTCATCAGAAGGATCTCCATCAGAAAACCCAAGAACATAAGCATCCCCTTCATCTTCATCACTCTCCATACCTTCCCTATTATCCCTTCTTTCGATATAAACTCGTGCTTGCCTTCTGTGCAGCCGTAACACGTGCATTATCACGTCTGGAGTCAGTATTACTCTTGAATGTTCTTCTCTGCCTTGCCTATTGGATTCCATTATCTGTGCATTAGATTGGAAAATATATCAGAATTGGAAACTGTTATGCTACTGTCCTTATTCATAAAAAGCTTCCCTCGTCTTTGGAAACTACAAGTAACACCCATATGTCAGTATTTTACAAACTTAATGTACCAAGGGGGTAATTTGTGCAATAAATCAAACTATTTCACGCATGTTCCAATTTTACAGACCACATGTACGACGAAGATTATTTTCATAACAAAAGTAAACTTTATGGTGCAATTACATATTTCTCTTTCTTTTCTTCTTCTTCTTCTTCTTTTTTTTCTTTTTTTTTTTTTTTTTTTTTTTTTTNTCAAGAACACAAGCACATACCTCGTGAGCATTTTCTTTTTCTCTCTTTTTTTTTTCCCCTCTTGGTGTAACTTGACTTAAGCTACAGAACATCTTAATAATGACAAAAAGAAAGCTATCTTCCAAAACTACTTGTAATTCACTGACATATGCTTCTACATTACTAACTGCCTAACCAAAACACACACTAATCAAGCTGAACCTCAAAAAGATGGCTTCTCTAATAATCATTCCAAAAACTTAAACATCAAGAACTGCAAGCACGTACCTCGTGAGCATTTTCAGGAAGAGCCCTAACATCATCAGACGAGGGGGACCATATTTTAACGCTCTTCTCAAGTCCACACGTAGCAAAAACCGGAATCATAGGGTGCGGTTCAAGCTGGTTCACGATATGCCGGTCACCGACCATCATTCGAACGAGCTCTCCTCCTTTCTTCTTCCACACAAATATATTCCCGCAGTCAGAGCCACTCATAACATACTCGTCATTCGGGCCAAAGAAACTCACCCCCTTCACTGTCTGCGAGTTCCTGTGGCCCGAATAAACCTGACTATAACTCGGGCCCTGCAAATTCCCAGTCAAAGAGGTCAAAACCCCCGGGCCCACGCTAGGCCCATTCTCAAACAAGTAGATGAGCTCATCATTGTACGAGACTAACAGCTCGCCTGCACCGGAATAGGCGAGGGCCGTGATGTGGGCTTCGTGGGTGCCGATGAGGTGGCGAGGGCAGAAAACGTCCATTGGGATTCCCAGTTTTGCCTGTGACGTGTTTGTTTCGTGCTTTCGAATGTCGTAAACACGCACATAGACATCGGCCCCACCTGTAGATAGGGTTGTAAACGAATCGAATCAAAGTGAATATTGAGATATTCGATTCGAATTCGTTGAAATATTCGAGGATTCGAATTCGTATTCGATTCGTTTAGAATACTCGAACATATTCGATTCGATTCGAAATCTGTTTTCAGAAAAATATTATAATTAAAAGAAAGAGATTATAATTACGAAATTATTGTTTATGTTTTTCCTATCCAGATGTTTTTAGGGCCAATTATTAATTTGGGATTGTTTTTACTTTTTTATGTCATAAAAATATTAGGAAGCAAAATTCATACTATATATAATTTATAAAATTTATATAACCTTAACGAATCGAATATCGATAATTCGAATCGAATATCTACAAATTCGAATTCGAATTCGTTTAACTTTCGAATATAAAATATTATTTGTATTCGAATTCGAATATTGAATCGAAACAAAAAAATTCGATTTGTTTACAAGCCTACCTGCAGATAAATAGTTGGGGTTTCGGGGGTTAATGGCTATGGAGTTGAGCCCGATGGTGGTTGGGGGCCGATTGTTCTCAACACGGGACGAGCAGCTGAAGAGCTTTGTGGCGGAGTCACTTCGTAAGTCGTACTGCACGGAAAGAGAAAAAGTAGATGCTTGAAAATCGATAAGAGAGTTTGAAACAATAAAAAAAAGTAAATTGTTCGGAATTTTTTAGCAAGTTTTTACGTGCTGGACAATGCCGTCCTCCCCGCAACTGTAGAACACGTGAGGGCTACCGGGCTCGACTGCAAGTTTGTGAACGCGACCCTGGTGCTTGGATAGTCTCTTTGTTTTAACTGAGCCGCTGTCATGCAAAAGGCTTAGCCTAACCTGTAGACATTTTTTATTTTTATTTTTTATTTTTTATTTTCATGTATTAAGGACTGACTTTAATTTTTTTTTTCCTTCCTAGGGACAATAGTTGCCAAAGTTCGTAATGAGCAAGGTCAGTTGAAGTGACTCGGATTATAACATGCCCACTGGGTTACGTGTTATGATATTCCTCTTTTCAAACTGTAATTCAATTAAATAAGATGGAGCTGTGCATAGTTGTCATTAACAGGAATGACTTCAGGTTTTGGGAGCAAACAAGAACTGGCAATGTGTGTATGCTCTTTACTTTTGCATTTAATTTATTTATTACACTCTCGCTAGTTAACTTATAGCACATGTTTATGCACATTCAGCACCACCAACGGCCAATATACAGTAACATTACATTTTTTTTGTTTTTTGTTTTTTTTTTCAGATTGGGTACTCCATAAAAATTAATGAAACATTTCCTAACAGTTACAAAGCTACCTGTGAGATTTGACCTAATCACTGTAGCCACCAGCGTTATCCTCCAAAATTACGAAAGACTTGTCTCAAGGAGGTTTTTCAACACTTCATAGGGCTTTGAAGAATTTAAGATAATGGAAGCTTCTTTCTGTAAGTATCCTTTATTTCAGCCCCAACAAAGTTACTCGTGAATATTGCAAATTGCAGATGCATATCTGCTAACCAAATAATTACCTGGAAATCAGCAGATGATGTCACTATTTTCCGGTCATCGGTATACGGCATGATTCTGGCCTGGAATATGTTGTCCAAGTGTTCAGATGGATAAGAAAATCTTAACTTCCGAGTGGCCCATTCCCAGAGCATTACTTGTCTGTCATCAGAGCCCGACACAAGAAGCTCACCAGTGGAGTTGAACTCAACCGTGTTTACACAGCCTTGATGGCCGATTAATTTCCCATATAAATCAATCTTTTTTACCAAAGTCTGCATCAACCAAGAACAAGCTTAATCTTTGGCAGACACAATTCAAGAGGATAGTGATATCAACAACGTTTAAGTCGCCACACAATGTAGCCGCACTGCGTCATGATTGGTATGGCTATGACTAGACTAAGACAAACAAGAGTAAAAGATAATGAGTATAAACAAAGGATAAAAATTCTAAGATGTCAAAATATTGATGTTTGAAAAATTAACATGCATAGAACAAGAGACTTCATATTGCTCTATACTTCACAATTACATAACATTTTGGAACAACTCTCGTGAACAATGAAATTTTTGGTGTCAGATATCAGAAGAATTTTATTTTCATTCAGAGGAAATATCGTTGTAGTATAACATTTCAAATTAACACTAGAATCAAGTCAAGTGTGTGCTAGGGCTGGCTTTATGATTTCGCAAAAAAAAAAAATAAAAAAAAAAGTAAAAAATGATATTTTGAAGATGATCTTAGCAAAACAAGAATTGAATTCTAGGAAATCTCCAATGCCTGCCATCCTAAAAGCAGTACAAAGTATCAATTGATCAATGAAGTGTCTTTGCTATCCTAGAATCTACCAAGCAACATACTTAGTGAAACTGATGTTTCCGAAAGGACAACTAAGTCCAACCATACCAATATTCCATGTAAAATAAGCATAAATGCAACTAACAGATCATTTCAATGTTAGTACAGGCTGTCGAAAGACCAAGTTATTTACAAGTCCAGGAACTCATCTCCAAGGGCATGCTCCAATACAAGACGAGGGTACACTAGAAAAAATTTCACAAGCAACAGAAATTACCACATGACAATGAATTTCGACAGAAGTTACCACATGAAAACTAACTTCGTAAAGACGCTGTGATTTGCACACAATCTGCCGATGACATACTTCGGAGGAGTTCTACTTTCAACAAAGAAGGAAAGAAAGAAGAAAAAAAGAAAAGAAAAACACCACTACTACCATCCTCCCCTCACAACACTGCAGCCTTTCAGTGACTTTTAGAAAACAGAATCTAAAATATACACAAATATCTTCTCATCGTGTAAGAATTGAATGGTGATGCAAATGAACTCTGAAGACAATTACATCAATATTGATCCAACTACAAAGCTTCTGCATCCACTTACAAATGAAATACAACTATTATATACACAATAATAAACCACGAGCCTGGCAGCTCACACACGCCTGGTCACTCCTGTTGGTTGTGTTAGAGTATTTAAACTTATTTTCAAACCCCTTTCTTCTTTCCTATTTTCCTTTTTCTTCCATGAAAATCCAAATGCTAGGAACTTAGGACTTGGATTGAGGAGAATGGCCAACAAATTGCCGGCAAGGCTTAAGAACACCAAGCAACCTAAGCCCAACAAACAATATAAACATCACTCACAGCTTAAAGAGAGAGGGACAGGGAACGGATATTTACCGCTCAACTGATCAAGCTTCATGTATATTTGCAACCAAACTAAGAACGAACTCGCACCTCAAAGATGAGGGTGGGGAGGAAGAGGAGTATATCAACTAAAGAAAGAAATTCATCACATAAGACATCATCCAATACAAATAGACTGCATTATGAACCCCAAGTCATAACCCGATTAACAGACCTCAGAAGCAGACACGCGGCGAGAGTAAATCCTGGGAGAGCAAAAACCCGTCTCTCTCTTGAAAAAATCGAGCAGCCTATTTTCGGAATTCTTCAGAATATCCCCCATCTCACCTAAATTTCAGTTTTAAACAGAAAATGAGGATGGCAGGTTTTTGCAGTAAAGGGAGTTGAATTTGATCGGTGAATTTGAGGAAACCGGTGCCAAAGCCACCATGCAATCTGAACCTTGATTAATCTCACACGCAGTTCAGAATCACTGTGGTAAGGGATCATGGGTTTGTTTTCTCATTTGAATGGGCTGAACAGGGGAGGGAGACGGCATCTAGCGAGGTCGTAGTGAGTATCAGCTTATGTTTCTCATTTCGGTCTTGCAGCATAACATAGGGATCGAAGTTTCGCGTTGGAGTAATGAAAAATGAGAAATACTAAATACCTAATAACAAGAAGTGTACATAACATTCACATTAACTGAGTCATACCAAAAATAAAAAATTAAGTGGTCTCCATTCCATGTGAGTGTTATGTACACCATTATGTACACTTATTATGTACTTGTAGCATTTTTCATGAAAAATATAGGCTGTGTTGTGTGCATTGTGGGATTGTTTGAAATTTGGCTTCTCTTTTATGAATGTTAGAAAAATTCAGGATGATTCGTTTGGTACGGGACAAGAGGTTCGAATGTTGATTTGGAACCAACAAATAAAAGAATTGTGAGGTGCCCTTGGCTTGGGGTCAAGGGTTTGAGCCCCCAAATTGCAATGGTGGAACAATTATAGAGGACTACAAGCGGCAGCTTGTGGGAGGTTGAAATTCTCTAGGATCCTACAGTTGAATTGGTGGGGCCAACATAAAGTTGGAGGATCAGCATGTTGCAATCACTTCGTTGAGAACCTGCGGCTGAATAGATGGGGCCAACATGGAGCTGGGAGGATCAACACGGAGCAATCACTTAGGGATCGACTCTTTGTGCGCGGTAGTTGAGGGTATTAGGTACCTGGGATCCATTGCATGGCTACCGCAGTTTAACTAGGGGCAGTTCTGAGGGGTCGGGAGCTGTTTCCTCGAGTACTAGTCAAGCTCAAGCCTGGAACCTCGGTATAAAAAAAAAAAAAGAAAAAAAAGAATTACTATCATAATCCGTCGCCCTCTCTACTCGTTCTCCCGAAGAAAAAACCAGATCTGATATTTGGCCGTCACCTCCCTACTTCACTTGCCTTGCTCCGCCCAACGGTTGTCGGAGTCCGCGCGGAGCCTCCCTTTCCTTCTTTTCCGTGAGATTCCACCGTTGTTGTGCTTTCGCGTCGTAGTTGGGGTCGTCGCCGGCGAGGAGGAAGGGTGGTGGGTTACCTCCGTCTCAGTCAACCGCTTCAGCTGAGGAGTTACTGGTGTAGGCTATGGAGTCGTCTTCCATTTCGTACTTGCGATTCTTGACCGCTTTTTTGGGTTCGATTAGGGTGGAGTTGGATCTATTCTTTCTCCCAACAGTCGGTGGTTTGATGCCGCAGTTGAGAGGATGGTGATGACGGACCTCTTGCCCGATCGCCGTCAGTTGTTTGGTTGCCGAGCTTGAAGAGTTGATCCGACTCGTTCGCTTCAGATCTGAGTAGCCATTGTCATAGCCATAGCCTTATGAAGTTTGGAGTTTAGAGTGCCCAAATTTGAGTTTCTTGTCTGGGCTTTTCTCTTCATTTGGTAGTCCTCGTGATGTGTCATTGAACTAATCAATCCTCAAACGTCCTCCTGCCTCGAGCTCAAGTTACTTGCAATGTGCCGGGAGGGGTCCCGACGTAGACACTCCAATGCTCAAGTCAGAACTTGTTAAAGAGAATAAGTTGGAAAGTATATGCATAATATGTAAAGGTACGATGATGATTATTAGCATTGAACTTGGTTATCCTTATAATAGGGTGAGTGTCTTGATGCCCAAGAGAGTTCTTGGTAGAAAAAAGATCCAACCAGATCTTCATGCCTAACTTACCATGTCTCTATCCAGGCAAGTTTCCTTGGCCTGCTATACTTTCTATCCTACTAAGATTTTTTTCCTCTTTATTGTTTAACTCTTACGTTTCCAGGTTGTGACCACTAATTCCTAACCTTTTTGCTGTAACCTTATTGAGGTTGACTCTTGACCTCCGGAAATGCAACCTCGACACCTTGAGGTCACTATTCATACTCGAGCTCCTGGAGGTCGCACCTCTAGGTTACCGTATCAGGTCGACCAGTTCCTTGAGCTACGTTCGCGAGCTTAAGACTCGTCTAAGAGTAGAACAACCCCTCCTTGGCAAGGTCTATTGCATCGATGTCTTGAGCCTATCTCAGCAGCATATTTCCTCTCCCAATAATTGTATAATGAATGAGTGACAAGTGTACACATTCTAGAGTGTTCTTTAGGTTATTATAAATGTTCTATCCTAGGATTTTTAGGGATCATCTTCTTCATCACATTGTAAGCCGCCATGGCCTTTTCAGCAAAGTACTATAGCACATCTTTCGTGCATTTTCACTCTGATTTGATTACGTTTTCTATCAATAAATTAACAGTTGTTTGCCTATTTGATATGGGATATCATATGGCTAAAGAACAGACCGGCCCATCACGTCGGACAAACCGGCATAAGTTGGGAGAAAACCGCGTGGGTTGAAGGATGATCGACCAAAGCAGAAGAGATCGAGCAGAATGGCAGGGTTGGTCGAGGATCGACCTGGCGAGGGGGAGCTCGATTATATCGAGCACGTAGCAGGAAGGAGGCAGTCGAGAGCGTGACCTGAACGTGAGTAGGCGCGTGGGTGATATCAAGGGATCCCAACGGCCCACGCAAAGGAATATTTCCCCTCAGCTCAAAAGGGGACACGTGGCGAGAACCTAGTGGTGCAGAGTAATAGTGGCAATAACCACCTCTGACGTCCCTGACATTTCTGACAATACACGTACTGTGTGTGTACGGACTGGCAGCGCGGGCAGGACAGCTCACCAAATATCCGGGCAGCTCTTAGGGCAGGTATCTCACTCCTATATATAGAGGAGTGGGTCTTTTCTTAGGGTTTACGATTGATCCATTCTTTACTTTGGAAAATTGAACAAACATATACTGACTTAAGCATCGGAGGCTCTTCACTGGAAAACCCCTCCAGTGTGAGAGTTTTGTGCAGGAGATGCAGCGAGGAGTGGCGGTACAAGGAGCGGTACCGCTGCCGATGGAGGAACAGCGTCCCGGCCAGCAAGTGGTGATGACGAGGCAGGAGATGCAGCAGATGGTGGTGAACGCGGCGGCACAGGCGGTTCAGCAGGTCACTCAAAGCCTTTCGCGAGTGGCTGCTGGGCCAACGATGGTGGATGAGGACGTGTCGAGCTATGGAGGAGATGGGGGCCTAAGAGATCGTGAGATGGAGAGGCTCGCGGAGCAGGTGAGGCAGTTGCAGGCTAAGATGGACGGTCGACCTGAAAGACGTGCTCGAGGACATCCGTTCTCGAGGGATATATTGGCTGCACCATTACCTGCGAATTTCAGAGATATGAGTTTGATGTTCGATGGGACCACTGACCCGTCGAGGCATGTGAGGGCGTTTGAAAATTTGGCTGTGTTGCATGGTTATTCTGACTCGGTTAGCTGCAGGGCATTCTTGTCGACCTTGAGGGGAGGCGCGCTCGATTGGTTTCAGCAACTCCCTCATGGATCGATCAAGGACTTTGATGATTTCGCGGAAAAGCTGATGACCCAGTATGCGAGTGCGGTGGCACAGAAAAAGACGTATCTGACGTTGATGGCTATGAGGCAAGGGGAGAAGGAATCATTGCGTAAGTATGTCGCGCGATACAATCAAACTTGTTTGGAGATCCCCACGGCCTCGGACGAGGTGAAGGCTGGAGGGTTGATACGGAGTTTGCGAGCGGGGCCTTGTCGTACATCTTTAGCTAAAACCCCTGCTCGTACGTATAATGATGTGCTAAAAAGATGTAAGAAGTACATTAATTTGGAGGAAACGGAGGCTGAGTTTGCTAAGTTGGAAGTGTTGGCTAAGCCTGAGCCAAAGAAGGGGAGGGTAAGCTCGCCTCGAAGAGTATCACCGGGTCGGAGATCGCCTAGAAGAGAGGGGCGTGGCAGGACTGATCGAGGGTGAGAAGACAGGTGGAAGGATCGACCAGTACTGGGGGGAAAGCGGTTCCAACACTTTACGCCTCTTTATGCGCGGATGGGCGAGGTGCTGGTGGCCATTGAGAGGAAGATAGGGGACAGGGATGTGACGTGGCCGAAGTTGAGGCGTGAGGGGCCGACACAGCCCTGGTCGAACAAGTATTGCCGTTTTCATAAAGATTATGGGCATAAAATGGAGGAGTGCAGACACCTCAAGGATGAGATCGAGCGCCTGATCAGGGCAGGGTATCTGAAGGAGTTCGTGTGCGAAGGGAAGGCGAAGGGGAAGGATAAAGGAAAGTGTCGAGAGGATTCGGTGGATCGGAGTGATCGAGATGATGATGAGGAAGGTGATCCTCGAGATGGAAGGGGTGATCGAGGAGTCAAGAGGAGACGAGAAAGTCAAGATCGAGGAGGCCAGGGAGACCAAGGCCCGGTGAAGAGAGGAACGATTTACATGATCTCGGGGGGACCAACAGATGGGGACTCGAACAATGCAAGGAAAGGTCATGTTCGAGCAATGAAGAGGAAGAGAGAGGAGGTGGGGATCACTGCTCGAATGCCGGAGATAAGTTTTCGGGCGGAAGATGCAGAGGGAGTAGTGTTGCCCCACAATGATGCACTGGTGATAACGGCGGAAGTGGCAGGTTTCGACGTAAAGAGGGTGTTTATTGATACGGGGAGTTCGGTTGATGTGATGTTTTATGATTGTTTTGTGCAGATAAACAAGGAGCTCAATCTTGACCTGAAGCCGGTGACCACAACCTTATATGGATTCAACGGAGGCGAGGTGATGCCAATGGGAGAGGTAAGCCTCTCTGTTGCCTTAGGGCAAGGGGTGACAAGGAAGGTGCGAATGGTAAGGTTTGTGGTCGTTGGAGCGGAATCCTCGTACAACATTATTATGGGAAGGACTAGCTTAAATGCTTTCCAGGCGGTCGTGTCGACGTACCACATGACGATCAAATATCCGGTGGGGGAAAACGTTGGTGAGGTCGCAGGAGATCAGCTTACCTCGAGGAGTTGCTACCAGACCACGGTGAGCAACAATAAGCAGCTCTCGAGGAAGCGAGCGAAGCTGGAGGAGGAAGTACCGAGTCGACCTGGGGGCTCGAGGTCGAAAGAAGAGAAGGAAAGAGCGGACAAGGGGAAAGAAAAGGTCGAGATGCAGCCAGGAGGGGAGATTGAGGAGGTCCAAATGGTAGAAGGGCGCGAAGAGAGGAAATTTCGGATAGGTAAGGAGATGGAGGAGCCTATAAGAT